TGGAAAATAATGACCTTTATCACAATATGCTAATTTTTTGAGAAGGACCTGTACATCTGGATATCGGCCGATACGATACTATTCAGATATCATAATCATAATTGATTTTATGAGGCTGTAATAATCTCCTCTCAAGTACAAGTTGTATTTATAGAATAAACGTGTATAAAAATACATTACGGCAAAGACTTGTTCATCCCAAAGATCTAGTCCCCCGGCACAAACAGAGTAATGTTGTGTATGCTGTTCAGTGTCAGGAGGGCTGTGATCAGTCTTACATCGGGGAAACAAAACAGCCACTGGCCAAAAGGATGGACCAGCACAGAAGATCAACATCATCAGGCCAGGACTCTGAGGTCTACACTCATCTCCAGGCCAGCGGTCACTCTTTCAGGGATGAAGATGTTCACATCCTGGACAGAGAGGAACGATGGTTTGAGAGAGGAGTAAAGGAGGCCATCTTTGTGAAAAGAAACCGTCCATCATTAAACAGGGGTGGAGGCCTCCGGGTTCAACTGTCCCCCTCTTACAATGCTGTGATTGCTAGTATCACTCAGCCCTCTGTGAACAGTAAACAGCCATCAGGTGCTAATGATCCATTGTTAGGCTGATGGTCCTTCTTGACCATGTGATCAGCTGGTTTTGGTTGTCAGCAGCAAACTGGTTGATCCACTCTGAGACGGTGCTATTTATAAGACTGAGCTGAAAACAGCACCTCAGACTGAGGAAGTCTTTTGGATGAAAGACGAAACGTTTCTACTTTTTTTTTTTTTTGAATGTCCAGAGGACCAGATTTAACTTTTTTAGAACTGTGTCATCAGCAGAGAAATGTAAGGATGCATCATGGATGGTCAAACCTACATTACTTATGTAGATTTTAAAGATGGGGCGGTCCTAAGACTGAGCCTTGTGGTACACCATTGTTGACTGTTAAATAACTGGAGGAAGTACCATTATGTTGAACACATTGCCTCTGGTCTGAAAGATAGTTAGAGAACCAACCAATGGTGTGATCTGAGAAACCAATTTTTGAGAGTTTATGACACAAGATGTTCTGATCCACAGAGTCAGAATCTTTAGACAGGTCTCAGAAAAGTGCAGCACAATAATCCTTAGCATCCAGTGCTTCAACAACATCATTAAGAACCTTCAGTGAAGCAGTGGTTGTGCTGTGTTGTTTCCTGAAACCAGATTGATGTGGAGGTAAGATGTTGAATGAGTCCAGGTCATTTTTGATTTGAGAGTTTATCAGTTTTTCTAGAATCTTGGCTAAAATGCAGAGTTTAGAGATTGGTCCATAGTTGTTCAGTGAGGTGGGGTCACCTCCCTTCAGCAAAGGAAGAACAAAGGCTGTTTTCAAGTGTCTGGGATGGAGTTTTGTCTCATGGAGAGATTGAAGATGTGGGTCACAGGGACTGTGATGATATGAGCAGCCAGCCTTAAGAAATAAGGTGGAAGTTCATCTGGACCTGCAGATTTTTTAGGATCAAGATCTTTTAACAGTTTATTGACCTCACTGACAGAATGGAGAAAAAGAGAAGGTGTGATTAACTGAGGATTGACTTGTAGGAGGGATTTGATTTGTAGAAGTTTGGTTATTAAGTGAAGTGGCTGATCTTCCATTAGTAACTGTGTCAAATAAAGAACCAGAAGCAACAAAATGTTTGTTGAGACAGTTCAGGATCTCGTGCTGATTTGACACAGGAACAGAGTTAACGAGAAGTTGTGATGGGAGGTCAGATGATTGGGTGGTGCCTGAGAGAGATTTGATGGTTTTCCAGAATCTGTTGGGGTCATTTAGATCTTTGGAGGTCTGAGATAAGAAATAATTACATTTTGCATCACAACCAACACGTAAACCACCAGCCTGTGGGCTAAGTCCCAAACAGGAAGTAAACGAGTAGACACCAAATGGAGTTCTGCACATTTCCTGTTTGTGATCAATAGTCTCATTATTCAGCCCACCTGCCAAGAAAAGATGATGGTTTTAGGAAATGGCAGGAACCCACTGAGATCCGGACCAGTACAAAGACCACCTGAGTCTGTGTGAGGGAACACACCTGGTTTTTCTTTATTCAACCAGATTAAAACCCCAATAGATTATCAATGAGTGGAAATATTGATCAGTGACTGGAAGGTGAAGCAAACTAATGAGCATGTCAAAACTTTCATTAAACACGTGGAAACAAGTTTTATAGTAAAACAACACAACTAAAACATTATTCTTTCAGCTGTCGCTGCTGTGAGCGCAACGTTTCATGACTGTAGATGAACACGCGCAGACTGGCGGCTCTGCTGTCG